TTTTTTTTTTTTTTTTTTGAGCAAAACCTAGTTTTGAACTATTTGCTAAAAACTTTTCTGGTTTTGTTGATAATATCAGTACTTGGTGTAATACTCAAATGTTTTTTCCTCATGAAATTTCCTAGTTTTGCTGTTACCTAAGTTAAACAGGTTATTTACAGGTGACTGAGCCTCAAAAAAAAAAACAAATGAAGAAAAAGAAGAAGAACTGGAATTCTTCTAAACCAAACATAAAACTTTTACGCTTGGGATGTTGTTAAATGGAAAAGTAAGAATATAGCAAAATTTAAAAAAGAAAAGATCGAGCTACTTGAGACGCATTCGCCGTTGATAAGACTTGTGGTTCCTCTCTGAACGCACTGGCACTGGCCACCACGGCAGAACAACGGTTCTCGACATTTGGTAGTGCATGCTTCACCGATACCTGCTGGTACTGCAAATAAACTTGCTTTCAAGGTCTATTGCTGTAATGAAGTTCTAGTTGAGTACGGTAACTTAGGCACTTTTTGAAGTAGTCTAGCGTTTGTTTACTGACACAAAAGCTAATAAAGTTAAGCTATGGCACAAAACAAGTTTTATTTTCACTGTGACCTTTGATGCAAAAAGTGTTCCATCTACGTAGAAAACAGGGAAACTTTTATGCTGCTTCAAGTTGAAAATCAGAAGGAAAGATTAACAATTAGAAAACTGAACAGAAAAAAAATTTTACATCTTTTGCAACGTGCATTATGACCTTTTTCGTCCACAACTTCTATGTAATGTGGATGACACCTGCATTTACCTCTCAGGCATATTGAACCCTTATGTTCGCAGTCGCCATTTGTATCACATGATTCGCTTAACTGCGACTTTCCTAAAAAAAAAAAGACTGAAAAAATTATTCTCTTTAAACGGGAAATGAAAAATGGGAATTAAAATATCGTTCAAACAATTCATTTCTACAACCAGCAACTGTTCAGGAATGAAATCGTGACTAAAAACCTTTAACATTTTGGTCACAGAGTAATCTCTAAGTATATGCACTGCATCTGAGGGCTGCTGTACAGAGACCTATATAAAAACGAATTTATGACTGAAGAAACTTTCAAGGCTTGTTTAGAAAAAGGAAAAAAGAAGGTGAAGTGAGGTAACTATACTGATCCAGTCGTTTGAATTTGTCGCTTACAATTTAAACTACCTAATGCAATCAGCTGCTTGAGCAGTACAGATTAAATAGGTTGGACTACTACGGCAAAACCAAATTGAAGGTTCTAAATTTTTTGCTCTAATAAAATTTTACATACAGCGTTTAGACCAATGTAAAGAATTTGAAAAGTAGATTTTTTCAGTGATGAAATATCAAATTTTGCCTTGTTAATTAAGGAAGAACGGAGAATTTTTGTCAGATAGCAAAAGTGGCAATGATGAAGGCCAATAAGAATGCAGTATTTCCAAGTCATACATGGGAGAGAATCGCGATCAGTTGTTTTCTCTCGTTTTTATTTATTTATTTATTTTTAGATTCATTAGTTTACAAGTATAATGATTAAAAATGAAAAGTCAAACCGTTGCATGGAGTAAAAACTGGATTTACTGAACTGAGGTGGTTGAGAAGGATCAGTAAGGAAAGTGTTGACCACTGGAGCAAACAAATTCCGTCCGACATCGGCCTGCGTGTCCAATGTGGTCGTCTGTGCGAGTAACCCAAATTTCTTCCGCGATGACGTTTTCTCTTTTTCGCTCGCTCATACTCATTCATTCATCCATCCATCCATCTATTTATTCATTCTTGCGTTTATTTATTCACTCATTCATTCATTTATTTTTTTCTTTATTCTTCACCGAGTCATTCATTTATTTATTCGTTCACTAATCCATTTATTTTGTGTATCTACTCGTTCAGTGATTCAATTAAATTAGCAGTCATTGATTTTCGTAGGTATTCCATATCCAAAAGTTATCTACAGTTTTCATCAGTGTTATGTTTGTCCAACTTCATTCAGCAACAGTCATTTTATCATTTTCCTTGCGCGTCTTCTCCGTCCTCTGAAAACAATTTTTCTGTGTTCCATCATCGCTCTTTTCCGTTTCCAATTTTTAATATCTCGACACGCATCACAGAATTCTTTGTATCGACTTTATGATAGGTATATCTCAAATACAGCTGTTGTCACGTAAAAGATTTCAAAAACAGCTCTACTTTTTCAGTTATATATATAATTACTCGGTAAAATATTAGATAAAATCAAGTGTCTTGCCTAATTGTTCGGTAAAATTATAATAAGGACACAACACTTGTTATATAATTATGTACGTTTATATATCTGTATTTGTACACTTGAGATGAAACTGGTCTCAAGATGGAAGTTGAAAAAGTAGCAGTTTATTTGGCCAAACAATTTTTACAATTAATGACCAGTTTGTTGTGGTTTTAATGATGTACGATTATGATGAATCATTGGATATATTAAAGAATAAGTTTTTATAAGTACATAGCGTTATCAAAATATGATATTTTATATTTTTGATAGTTATTTTATACTGGTTTGATAACCTATATAAAATGTATAGTTTTTTTTGTGACTAAATATTTAATGTGTATAATGTTATTTTTTCGATTCGTTAAAGTCTCTTGCTTATCATAAAATTTTTTACAGTTATCTAGTAGCAGATGGAATAAACTTTCTTGTACGATCTATTTAAAATTAGATCTTAATTTGATTTAAAAATTGTACACCACTGCACCAGTACATGAAACACCAAAGGATTCTGATTTATAAGATTAACAAATAAGGCCAACAAGAAAAAAAAGGGTTATTTACTTGTCAAACAACAGGTTAACGAAAAAATACCAAATTTTTATACATTACTGAACTACTGCTCATTTTTGAAATGCAGTTGATGTTTTCTTCTTTTGTGCAATAACTGTTGAACAAAAGAAAAAAAAGAGGAGAAGGGGAAACTGCCATACTGCAATTTGGTTGTATTAGGAGCAGAAAAAAAGTATTGCAGATACAGTTCTGTTTCATTTGCAGTTACCCAACTATGGCTAATTAAAATTATTTACAGCTTGTTTGTAGATAACACCAGTTCATTGGCTGATAATTATGATAGATTCTGAAAACTTTATGAGAGTCTGGCTGTACCGGTAACAACAAGAAGTGTATATAAATATATCTTCTTAGACTACCGTTACTGTGTCTGCAAATTATTTTTGCTGATTTTTTCCTTCTTTTAATGCTACTACTACACAACACTATATTTTAATAAATGAATAAAAAGAACATATGATTATTGATAAATGATACATGGAAAAAGCATTTGCTTAAAATATTTGTTCGAATTTAAAGAAAAAAAGCAATATCCGAACGTCGTTTTTTGGTCTTTAATCGTTTACGACGTGCAGCAGCTTCACATTTACGTTATGCGCTTCTACCTTAGCATTACTATATGCGATAAACAAACAGATATTATTTGTCGAGTTTCATCTATTTTTAGTATTTTTTTTTAATGTAAAAATAAGTAGACAAACAAGTTTTATTTATATATTATCTTCCAAAAAAAAATTAAAAGGGAACAGAAGAGATGTCTCTTTTTAGAGTTTTATAAATTTTTTTTCGATGTCTATCAACTGTAAACAAGAAACTTGACTAGTACGCAAAAATAAAACTTTTTTATTGGATACAGTTTTTGCGCTACTTTTTAATGATACTGTTAAAGTGGAGGAAAAAGTGAATAAATGAACTCTAAAAAAAAAAAAGCAAAAGAATATTTTTGGAAAGGACTAACTGATATTTGTATTCGTTAAACTTTTACTATACATTTACTGAGCCTTCAGTTGAATAAAATATTGTAAGAATGAAGACTACTTAAAAAGATTTAAAAGTTAATTTTTTTTTCAACTTTTTTTTTTTGCTATTATTTGTCAACAATTGCTGTAAAACGTTAAACAGCAAAAAAAAAACCGGAAAAGGACGTGATACACTGATGACAACGATCAAAAACAACAGTCAGTAGCAGCAACAACACGAACAGTAAGAGTAATAATACAAAACTCGTTTACTGTTTCGATAGGTGAAAAGAACTATTTTACCTCTTTTTTCCTATAAACTAATAAAAAAAATACACTGATTTTTGTGATATTAAACAGCAGTGATTGTGTTATTGTTGGCGACATGATTACGATGTTGACAACTGAAGACGGTCATCAATAAAGCTAAAGTGTTGTTTTCGGCTACTGCAAAAACATAAAGTATAATTGCTGAAACTTTTCAGGGTCAGTTACCGCATTTACTGTACTTACCGATTTGTATAATTTTACTGGCTTTACGGTTTTGTAATAAATATTTTTTATTAGCACTGTTTGCAAGCTTTGTATGTAAAAATTGATTTGCTGTTTTTTGTTTCCTCTTTGTCGATATATTTAGAATGTATAAGAAATAAATCGCTGAATGACTTTATTCTGATTGTTTAACCCAACTGGTAATATACAACTGCTTTATAACAGTTTATTAATGTTAAAATGTGTGCTTATAACATATTACATAGAAATAATTAAATATTTCCATTGAAGACCGATAGTATAGTACATCTTATTGGTTTCGTTGATAAATCAAATCAAAAAAAAAGAGGAAAATATTTGTTCCAAAGAAGTTGTTGCTGATAAAAGTCGTTGATGGTATGAATAAAACTGTTTTCTTTTGTCATTCAAATTGTTGTCAAGCAAGCAGATACACCAATAAACAGACAGCTGGACAGATAAATAAGTAGGTAGATAGATAGATAGTTAGATAGTCTAATAGAATATTTTGGTAAACAAAATAAATGATAAGTTGCCTTTTGCAAATTTCATTACCATGAAGATTCTTTCAAAAATGGCTTTTTTTTTGAGTAACGTAATTTCTGTTCAAACCAAATAATGTTTTATTTTTGAACCTTTTATTTTCATGGTTATTGTTTAGGAAAAAAAAAAGCTGGAAAAAAATTGAAATTTGTTTTTCTACAACTAACAACTTGAAACATCCTAATGCCTTTTTTTTCTGCGCATTAGCAGAAAAGGTGAGTGAAAAAAAAAGTGAAGGAAAAACAAGATAGACTGAATTTGTTCATTACCATCAATCAAATAATGCTCAAAAAAAAAGTGATAAAAGAAAAAAATTGGTATAAAAAGAAAATATAAAATGTGTGTTTCCATTTTTCTTCTTTTTTTTTGTTTATTTATTCAGTTTTATTCTGAAAAAAATAGTCAGCTATAAAATTCTGCAATTGACAGAAATCAAACTTTTAATAACCCCAAAAGTACCAATTAAATCAACAAAAACAACAACAAAAAAATGCTTTTTACAATTGCTGAGAAGAAAATTCTATAGAAATATTACAGCGATTAATAAATACAGCTAAAAAAATTGAGCAGTTTCTTGGTAAACTGAAATACTGATAGTAATAGAAGCAGCAGAAGCAGCAGAAGCAAACAGAAGGAATCAGAAATAGCAACAGGAGAAGCAGCACAAAATGTAAGATCAGCAAAAAAACTGCAGTAACTGCAATTGTTCAAAACAACAACTGAAAGTTTTTCATAAATTTTTAAATACAAAATAACTTTTATTGTAATAATTTGGCTTCATTTTAAAACAGAAAATTTCTTTTAAAGTTGTTTTTTGTTTTATTTTTTTG